CCAGTGACTCAGGAGGCTGAGGCAGGAGGATCAAAAGTTCAAAGCCAGCCTCCGCAATTTAGCAATACCCTATCTCTACGTAAAGAAGGCCAGGGATGCTAGGGGTGTAACTCAGTGGTAAAGTGCCCCTGGGTTCCCCAGTATCCCCCCACCAAAAAAAAAAAAAGAAAAGAAAAGAAAAGAAAGAAGAGTTCATGTTTCTGGTTTTAATCTATGGGTATGTATAGTAGCTAGAATAGGAAAGTCTAAACTTTTCTATCTAAAGATTCCATATTTGAGTCTGCTGAAATAAACTGATAATGGACAGATCAGCAACAAGAAAAGCATGCAAATTTGTTAGTGATCCCATAGGAGCCACACAAAATATGATATGCAGAGGGCCAGATAGTTGAAACTTCAACACCCTCCTCATAGGGGAAAATGAAATTGGGGGAGGGCGGGATATTACTGTGAACAAAGGTGGTCTTATAATGTAAACACAGTCTCTCAGGTAGAAGTTTTCAGAAGAATAGAGGGAAGTGTAAATATATATGAAGACCTTTTACTATACTCTGTGGGTTAGCTTTTTCCAATTAATGAGATTTTAAGGAGGAAATTCAAGACAATTGTATTTCTTTTTTTAATATTTATTTTTTAGTTGTACGTGGACACAATATCTTTATTTTATTTTTATGTGGTGCTGGGGATGGAACCCAGTGCCTCAAGCATGGTAGGCCAGCGCTCTACCTCTGAACCACAACCCCCCCCCACCACCAGGCAATTGTATTTCTTTTGGAAGAACTTTCTTTAGTTAGTTAAGCAAACTTCAGTGAGAACCCCTCCCTGTGCTTGAGGGTGGATRGAAACAAGAAAAGGTTAGAGAGACCTTGAGTCTAAGGCTGCTTCATAGGCCTCCAGTTTCCTATAATTCAAAGTGGTCAGCATGTCACAGCATCATGCTTTGGGGTATTGTTTTATGAGCCTTAGCACTAGGAAGCAAGTTTGATGGATTGTTTAAAAAAATGATTGAAGTTCATTAGATGCTTTACCGTTTGTGAAGCTGGTCCTGATTTCATACCCACCTGGTTATGATCTTTCTTTCCTTCAAGATGTCAGGTTCATAGTTGACCTTATATATCATTAATGTACATATTTACTCTCTTATTTGCTTCTTGAAGGCTCTGTCTTTAATTCCCTCTTCTCACACACACTGTTTTTTTTTTAATATTTATTTTTTAGTTTTGGATGGACACAATATCTTTGTTTTATGTGGTGCTGAGGATTGAATCCAGTGCCTCATGCATGCTAGGTGAGCGCTCTACCTCTGAGCACAACCCCAGCCCCCACTAATACACACTTTTATGTTCCATCTCTGACCAAGACAGGTGCCTGGGAATCTGAAATTTAAGCGTAGCTGGTTATCCTAATGATTGGTCATGTCAGGCTTAGCCATGTAACAGTGAATCAGCTGGTGGGGAGCTGTTTTAATCACCTTGCTATCAAATGTTAGCAAATCAATTACTAACTTCAGATTTTACATTGACAGCATAAAATAGTACTGACTCCTCTTTCTTGGAAATGACCTCAGAATAACAAGAAAGATAAGAAGTACAAACTCTGTCCTCAATGATATCAGGTGACAGCAGAAAGTGTGAATCAAAGAGTATAAGCAAGGGCTACCGTGCCCCTCTGCAATGTGTAAAGGTTCTACTATTTCCACAACCTTGCCAACACCTTTTATTTATTTATTTTTTTAAATATAGCCATTCTGTGGGTGTGAAGCTGTATCTCATTGGTTTTAACTTACATTTCCCTATTAAGTAATTGTGTCAGGCAACTTTTCATATATTTGTTGGCCATTTTTATGTCTTTGCTGAAATCCTGTTCACACCCCTCACACACACACACCTCTTTCTCTCTCTCTCTCTCTCTCTCTCTCTCTCTCTCTCTCTCTCTCTCTCGGTACTGGGGATTGAACCTAGGGGTACTTTACCACTGAGCCGCATCCTCATCCTTTTTATTTTTTATTATGAGACAGGGTCTCACTAAGTTGCTTAGGGCTTCAGTAAGTTGCTGAGCCTTTGAACTTGTGATCTTCCAACATCAGCCTCCCAGTTCACTGAGATTACAGATGTGCACCATTACACTCAGCTCCCTTTAATGTACTTCTAATTCTAAAAGTTATACTGTATTTTATAAGCATTAAACTTTCTAGCTACAGATGATACTGATAAACCCATTATAATATAAAAGCAATGATTTGCTAAATATTTTTCCAAAATAATAGTGATCCAAGTGTGTGTATGGTATGTATGTGTATGCAATTGTGGTTATTAAAGCATGATTGACAGGTGATCTGTAAGATCAGATTGCACTTAAGATGACTTCCCCAGGGATGTTAGCTATATAGTTTCTTTCTCTCTCTCTGTTCGTAGGTGTATGGTCTGTGTGGTGTTTATGGTGCTAGGGATTGAATCCAAGGGTCTTGCACATGCTAGCCAAGTGTTCCACCACTAAGCTGCATCCCCAGCTCTTTTAAGAGGGTGTTCTTGCTAAGTTGCTCAGGCTGGCCATGAATTTGTTATCCTYCTGCCTTAGCCTCTAAAGTAGCTGGGATTATAGGCCTGTGCCACTACACCCAGCTCTCTCCCTCTTTTTTTTTTTTTTAAGCATAGTTTAAAAGGTAAATGAATGGAGTTGAGTCTTTTTTATTTTTTTTTTATTGGTTGTTCAAATGGAGTTGAGTCTTAATGCAACCTATTAGTCTCAATCATTCAACACCTTATCTTAGAAGRGAGGAATGATAACAGGGATAGAGGTCAACCTTCATTTAACTATCCCTTTAACGATAAATGTGAGAGCTAAGGTCAAGCCAGGAACAAGGCAGATATCCTAGGCTAGTATTAGGTTGTTCTATACTTTGACTAGTAATTGTCCTTTAAAGATTATTTTCACAATTAACCGTGTTTACATTCTGACAGAAAGGTCAGAGTTTCTTGTTACTGCATGTAAACTCTTCTGTAATAAAGTATGAAAACCTAGAAGGAACAAATACACACAGTAATTGCAAGATTAGTGGTCACTTCTGGAGAAAGAGAAAAGAACTTTAATGTTATAATTAACAATTTGTTTCATTAAAAAAATTTTATGCAGCTGGGGGTGCATGCCTGTATCCCAGAGGCTTGGGAGGCTAAGACAGGAGAATTGAGAATTCAAAGCCAGCCTCAGCAACTTCAAGGTACTAAGCAACTCAGTGAGACCCTGTCTCTAAATAAAGTACAAAATAGGGCTTGGGGTGTAGTTCAGTGCTCGAGTACCCGCATTCAATTCCTGGTACAAAAACAAAAATTATGCAAATACTGCAGAATATTTGGATTTGTTAAATCTTGCTAGGGGAGTGGGAATGTGGGTTTATGTTCAGCAGTGAATGTTTGTGAGGCTATGACAAGGTCACTCATAGATATTGAAGGGAAATTCAGTGTGTAATACAGTAATTCTTTGGTTAGATATTGGGAAATTTGGGATCTCTTCCCAATGCTTTTGCATGTGTTTGTGTACAGTTTGCAGTGCGGGGGATCAAACCCAGGGTCTCAAAATTCTCGTCCACTGAGCTAATCCCCATGTCCGCCCTAGTTCTTCTAATAATCAGYTTTGGACCTTGGCTAATTCCTGTTTTAAGTGGGTCTTCTTGGTCTTCTGCTATTGGTTGGGTTTTCTTTCATTCAGCAATCATAATTTTCACCTTTAGCTATCTAAAATGTCATAATTGCTTATTCCTTATTTAGTCTTTTTTGCCCTTCACTGAGGAACTGCATGTTCAGATCTTTCATAGAAACAAAAATGAAGGAGCTGGAGTTTTGGCTCAGTGGTAGAACGCTTGCCTGGCATGTGTGAGGCACTGGGTTCAATTCTTAGCACTATATATAAATAAATGAACAAAATAAAGGAATCTCTTAAAAAAAAAAAAAAAAAGAAACAGAAACATTTTCTCTAATTCCCTGGAGCCAAAGCCAGCTCTATCAATGTTTAAACTAAAAACAACAAAATACTAAGATCTATTTTTGAGGCATCTGCATTATTATTTATTTCAAACCTGCACATTTTTTGTCCCTCTAGGGCATTTAGTTTACATACAAAGAAGTAAAAAACAAAAAATTTCATTACAGCTATTCTGCCTTTGATTCTTTGGGATTGGCTTATTTCATTTAGCTTGATATTCTCCAGTTCCATCCATATGCCAGCAAATGCCATAATTCCATTCTTCTTAATGGTTGAATAATATTCCATCACGTGTATGTACCACATTTTTTAAATTCATTCATCTGTTGAAGGTTGAGCCCTGGAATTTGAGATCRGCCTGGACAACATGGTACACCTCATCTTAGAAAGAACAAAGCAGAATTTTATTTTGGATCTTTAGAGTAARATGGCCTTGACTCTAACAGCATATATCTAAAAGGGATTTTAAGGAAATTAAGAGATCCTGTGGCTACAATGTAATTAGTGTTTGGTATGAGGAACCCTGTTCAGATCGTACTCCTGTTTCTCAGTTAGAAGGACTTAGGGTGAAGCGTTTTATGCATTCCCATTGATATTTCATTAATAATTATGTGGCTATTTATGTGTACCTGAAGGACTCATATRATAGCTATAAGGGTCCTTTCCATTGCAGAATGTGACTTTTCCATTTTGAAACCTTGATGGCTTTGCTGCGCCAAGGCCCTGGGGTTCCCCAGTATAGTCCATTAATCCTATTACCCACGGCTCTCAGCTACTTCTGTGTCAGGGAGTATCTCTCATCTAATGCTCCATGTTGGTCTTTGAGATGTTCTAAATCAGTGTGAACCATATGTTAGTAGGAAACTTGTAAGATCAGAACTGAAATTCATTCCTGACTGCTAATAGCTGACCTCCTTTATACTTTCATGAGTTCATGATCTTTTCTGAGATCATACGAGATCAGGTGTATTTAGGGTGGTATGGCCTAGACTCATGCTCTCTTAATGAACTCTTATCCACAGGATGAAGATGCTGGGATCAAAAGTAAAGTTCATCATATTGCCAAGGAGATCATGAGCTCAGAGAAAGTGTAGGTATCTAGTTTACTATTCAGAGGACTGTTGTTTTCTTCATTGGCTCATTTAAAACATTTTTTCATTGCTGTTTTTGTTTTGTTTTGTTTTGTTTTGCAGATTTGTGGATGTGTTAAAACTTCTGCATATTGTAAGTATCTGCTAGTTTTTTCAACTCTAAGACTTTCCCCTTTTGCACCTTTCCTACCCCAAAAAGTTTTCAACATAACTAACTTAAATGAATTCAATGCATACATTTTCTAATACCTGGTTATGTCTTTAAATTCACACACATATATGTAAAAGTAGGCATTTTCTAAAACATATGTATCTTGTGTATTTGTAGATAAATGCAGATGATTTCTAAAAAATAAAGCCTTTATTTTCGTATCTCCAAAGTCTTCAATCTTTCTATCTTCATAATAAAGAAGCTTCTTTTGTTTCATCTTTCTTTCTTTCCTTCCTTCCTACTTTCTTTCCTATTTTCCTTTTGTGGTGCTGGAGATCAAACCCAGGGCCTCATACATGATAAGCACTCTACTGTAGCACTGAGCTGCATCCCCAGCCTTCATAATAAAATTGAGTTTTCAAAGTGATAATATATCTCCTTGGACATTTGCAGAAGTCACCTGCTGTTAGTAGAATTTTGCATTAGCAGTGTAGAAAGAATGTCCTCTTTGTTGTTCAAAACTGTTTTTCTCTTAGCTGAATAGCTTGTAAGAACAGACACTTGGAATAACATTTTTACAGCTAACTTTTTAAAGTTCTATTTTCAATTTTTTACTTGTCAACTCTTAACAGACCTGTTGGGAAACAATTATATGCTTCTGACCACATATTCCTTTTTCTCATGCATTCCTTTGTACTTGCAAGTTTTTACAAGTTTCACTATGCATTTGCAGTTAAAGTGCTTTTAGTGTTACTTTATTCCAATTATGTTTCAGTAAAATATTAAGACTTAACAATAAGAAAGGGCTAAAGTAGAAGAAACAATGAAACAGAATTTGAAGTGGAGTTTTACTTAATGTGATGTAATTATTATCATCATAAATTAAACTTAATAGCTGAGAAAAGAAGTTTCACAAAATATATACCCATTATGTCCCTGCAGTGAGTATAATTGTTTTCATTTTTCTTTAATTCCCATGGTATTGGGAATTAAAACCTAGGTCTTGCACATGCTAGGCAAGTACTCTACTTCTGAACTGCATTCTCAGTCCTTTTTATTTTTAATTTTGAGATAGGGTCTTGCTAAGTTACATAGGCTGGCCTTGAACTTGCTGTATTCCTGCCTCAGCCTCATGAGAAGCTAGGATTACAGGCATATGCCAACACACCTGGCTTCATTTTTCCTCTTAACAAATACAGATGAACATGAAAAAGGGGTTGCATGATTGCTATTATCTAAATGATTCCCCTTCACTGTTTGCTTGGTCCATTGGAAACATACAGGCCTAATTCCTGAATGAAGAATCTCTGGCTTTGGGAACATTTTCTAAAAATTTCCTTCACATTGCTAATTCGTTTCAAGAAATAATTCCACATGAATAGTTTCTCCCATTAGCTGTTGACTATATTGGTAAGGTTGTTTTTTTTTTCTTTTTTGGCAATTTATTTTAAAAATAATTAAACACAATATTTTATTGCCCAAACATATTGTTTGAGTTTCAAGTTAAATGTACATTTGCTGCTGTGCCCCAAATATTCCCACTGAAACTTAGACATCTGATGTAATGAAATAAAATAATATGATGTGGTTTTTTGTTTGGTTGGTTGGTTGGTTTGCTTGTTTGGGTTTTTGTTGTGTTGTTGTTTGTTATGTTATTTGCTTTGTGGTAATGGGGATTGAATCCAGGAGTGCTGTACCATTGCATTACATTCCCAGTCCTTTTTATTTTTATTTTTATTTTTTTTGGAGGGTGGTACCAAGGATTGAACTCAGGAGTACTCAACCACTGAGCCACATCCCCAGCCCAGTTTTGTATTGTTTTAAAAATATTTTTTAGTTGTTGATGGACGTTTATTTTGTTTATTTGTATGTGGTGCTGAGAATCGAACCCAGTGCCTCATGCAAGTGAGTTACCACTGAGCCACAACCCCAGTCCCCCCAGTTTTGTATTTTATTAGAGACAGGGTCTCACTGAGTTGTTTAGTGCCTTGCTGTTACTGAGGCTGGCTTTGAACTCACTATCTTCCTGTCTCAGCTTCCCGAGCCACTGAGGTTACTCTTTTTATTTTTTTATTTTGAGAATYACTAAATTGCTGAGGCTGACCTCCAACTTATGATCCTCCTGCCTCAGCTTCCCAAATTGCTGGAAAATCCATAGGTATGCATCACCAGATCCAAGTAAATAATATGAATAAAAAATAATTTGAAAGGGAACAATCATAGACTTGGGGGTCTTGTAGACAACAATGGTCTGGTTAAGTTATACTTAAGTAGTACTAGTAATAAGCCATCTTTGTGCCACTAATTTTTTTAAGTGGAGAGAATCATCCCAATGGAAATTTAAGAAACTTTCAATAAAATCCATGGAGTAGACAGGTGCAGTGGTGCATGCCTATAATTGCAGGTGCTCAAAAGGCTGAGGCAGGTGAATCTCAAGATCAAGGCAACTTAGCGATACCTTGTCTGAAAATAAAATAGTAAGGGCTGGACATGTAGCTTAGTGGTACACAGCAATTGCTTATCATGTGCAAGGCCATGGGTTCAGTCCCTTGTATCACAAAACAAAACAAAACAAAATTTAAAAATAAAATCTTAGAGCTGGAGGCAAGGTCACCTGAACATTCTGATTCCTAATACTAAATAGTCTGTATCTTTTATTTGTTTTTAAGTGCATTATAAAATGAATAGAAGGCTTCCTCATTTCCCATGTTTGTCTCATCTTAAAATCTTCATCCTGTTCTACTAAATGCACCCTGTTTCGAGTCTTGGGAACCATTTAATTATCATTTACTGTTGAGTCATAATGACGTAGCTTTCTAACCTCACTCCTGAGCAGCTTTGTTCTTGTGAGGACGGCCCTTCACTGATGAAGTTTCATAGTCAAGAGCGCCTTTGTCTTGCTGCAGAGGCTCCTTTCCCATGTTGGTTTGGTATTTCCCTCTTTCTATGTGCCTCTTGTTTCAGAGCTTCCAAGGCCTTGTGGATCTTAAATGAGGTTCATGTGATCATTGAAACTGTCAAATCTTTTAATTCAATAAATGACCTCTATTGAAGGCCCTCTACATTGTATAACTATGTTACACAAATTATCTGTTTTAATCCTCATATCAAATGGGTGTTATTTCCAGTTTTTAAGTGAGGAGCATAAGCTAGCTGTCAAAAGAAAGCCTCTACTAAATGTGAAAGCCAGGCTTTGAAGTCTGATCTGTCTGACTTCTTGCCTTTTGTGATTGTGTAGAAATTGATTAAAAATTGTTTCTTGAAATTTCGACCATGCTATATAGGATGTGGTGTCTCCTGAGGCATTTTAGCTTGCTTTTAGATTTCTTTCAGTTGCCTAGGAAATGAGACAAATGCTACTCTTTCATCTTCTAAAGATGGTAATGAAGCTAGACCTTTGTTACTTGGGATACAATATGATCTTTACTTACTAATCTTATTTAAAGGGGATTGGAAACTTGAGATGAAGGGTTAGTTTCAGTCAAGTTTTATACAGTTTTGCCTTGATGATTCTGCATGATATTAGCAGGTCTGTGCATAAGGCACAGAGGAATAATTTCATTGTGAAAATACTTTTCATTTTAAAAACAAAGTCAAAAATTGTCAAGATGGGGACTGCCCCTTTGTAGTTTTACTTTGTGTTTTCTCACTCATTACTGCATATTTATCATGACTCTTAGACCTCAGTAGCTGCTTTGCTCTTATGTAACATGAAGTGGTTCTTTATGATTTTTTACTTACAGAGCTTCCTGTTCGTATGTCCATGTGGTCTTTGTAATCCACTGCATCATGATAGTGGTTAAGTAATGCCTGGAGGTCAGGAATCCTACTGGGGTCAGCTGGTGATTAAGTCTCTCTTCTGTGGCTCTGGAGATATAAAGCCTGACCCCATGAACAAAGCCATCTGTTTTGTGCTTCATTGCCTCGGATATTCATACTTGATTTTATTTGCATTGATTTTTCCCTGGGTCTTCCCCAAGTGATGAGAGCTGTCAAGGCTAGTACGTTAATACCTTAAAGGAATTAAAGATCCATTTAAAGTTATTCTGGTTCTTATTTATATGTTTTTGGAAAATTATTAAGAATATTAAGATATGCTTAGGTCCATTTTTATCTCTATAAATTCCACTTGAACAAGCAATTTGGTTAGTGGAACCAAAAACTAAGAGTGGTTAAATTTTGCAGAGACTATGGTGGATTTTATATTAGAAAGACTGAAGCAGAGTGAGTTAGTTGATACCAGTAATCTCTATAGCTTGCCTAACATTTTCACACCTTTCTTCCCCCCAGACCTTTATTTTCATTACCCATGTTTCCTATAGTGGAAAAGTCAACTCTGAATCTAATTTTCAAACTGCTCATTCTGCCGTCTTGCATCCTCATGGATGTCTCCGAGGTGTTGGTGAATTTAGATTCTTCTAGTCCAAAATAGCTTTGCCTCTGGCTCTTAAGTGTCATCACACTTTCCCAAATTATCCTGGCTGTTAACATTTAGAAAAATAACCAGACATATGTTGTAATCATCCTTTTTATAAAAAAATAGGATGTTACCTCCTTCCAGTGGCACCAGTTTTGGCAATGGCTGAGGTTCATGACGAGCTGAGAAATTAAGGAGTCTGTGTGTAGTTCCTGTGTGATGAGTTACATCTGGCAGTGGGGCAGAGTGCACTACTTTCAGAGGATGGTGGCCCAAGAAGTGAGGGAGTGAGATTGGGGTCATTGCTGCTTTGTGTAATTATGGAGGTCATAAATTCCAAGTTGGAGGCCTTGGTATGTGAATTGTATTCGCCCAGAGGAAGGAATGCTCTTTTTTTTGGGCGGGGGGGGGGGGGGGGGGGGGGGGGGGGGGGGATCGAACCCAGGAATCACATATGCTAAGCATGTATGTACTCTACTACTGAACTACACCCCCAGCCACAGTGCTCTTTTCTGTTTTAAGAAAAGCACCAAGAAATCCACTGATATCCTCAGGAGAAAAAAATTATCCAATAAGACTTGTTAAAGCATGGTAAGGCCAGTTTCCTCCAGAATTATCACTGTAGTCATAGGGACCATTGCAGTGGGATTTTGTAGTGGCAGAGAAAGAATGGGCTTAACCCCTAACACAGCATGGAAAAGTGGGAGTTTGTAGCCAAGGAGCATAGTGGGAATCAGTGAATGGAAAATGACCCACAGGGAACCTCAGCATTAAGGGTGCTGCTCTATCTAACAAAGCCAGCTTAGCAGGATTCTTGCTGAAGATTGGCCAACGTGATCACATATCACCTGAGGGATGATGGCAGATGAGGAGCAGGGCCAGATACCATGGGCTGAAGATTTTTACTAAAGATGGATTTGACAGGGAAAGTACACAGGTGGACCTAAGAAAAGGTTCAGGAACCTGATTACTTTGGTCAAGCATAGAGTCTTTGTCAAGTGCTGCTTAGAATATGTAACTTTCTAGGCCTTATGGATATATACTCTCAAAATTCCTATAGTCTTTATTAAATGTTGGTCTTTTGCTCTTTTAAGTATTAAATTTTCTATTTTATTCTGACATATTACTCATAATTAAAAAAAAAAAAAAAAAGACCTCATGGAGCCAGGCATGGTAGCACATACCTATAATCCATTTACTCAGGAGGCTGAGTCAGAGGATCTCAGGTTCAAGGCCAGCCTCAGCAATTTAGTGAGGCCCTAAGCAACTTAGTGTGACCTTGTCTCTAAATAAACAAACAGAAAGGGCAGGAGATGACCTTCAGTGGTTAAGCATCCCTCTGTTAAATCCCCAGTTCCAAACGAAAACAACAACAAAAACCCACAATGGTACATCAGTTCTTTCTGAGATGCCTACAAACATCTAGGAATGCTAGGGAAAGCAGAGTTTTGCATGGTTTGTGTCAAGGGCCTCCATTCAGAGGTGGCCATCTCACTGGTCAGCCAACTTTGGATATGGCCGGTCTCTGTTAAATGTGTCTTAAATAAACAAGTTTCCTTTTTGGCAGAGGTGACAGACATGGAATGCAGAGTCGGGCAGAAGCTGTGTCAAACTGAGTCCTTAAGTTACTTAGCAGCTAACATCTACTGTCCTTGTCATGGCTGAGGAAATACTTTCCAACTGGAAAACAAAAGCTATCATGCTGCCAAGTGACAAACATAGACATCCCTTCTTCTACCAGAAGAAAGGGCAGTGTTCACTGCTTTGCTGAGTAAGGAGCTCTTGTGTCTAAATTATACCAATTGCTAACCTGGTTTAAAAAAAAAAAAAAAAAAGCAACACTGAAGAAGATGTCTGGGTTTTTAATATATTCACAACTTGGGCAGTTATTTGTCATTGTATTCTACGGGTCTGCCTGAGAGCAGACAATCTGATGACTCTCGAAAGTGTTAAGTAGCTCTATTTTCTCCTAGTAATTGGGAGTGATGATTGAAACAAGCTGTTGGGAGGTGGAATTTGGCCAATAGCCACTGGGTTCCTGGAGATGTTTTGTGTGGTTTTTCTGGATTGGAGCTGATGCAAGTTATAAATTCTTGTTTTAAATTATACAAGTTAGTTCTTTTAATTTGGTTAGTTCTTTTGGTTTATAGTTGCTTCCTTTGGGCCAGTGTGACAGTAAAACCAATAAAGATGATCTCAGGTATTGAGTCCTAARTGAGGGAGGTTTAGCACTTGTTAAATATAGGTTTGACTTATCTAGACTAGCCATACTTAGGGGAGGGGACATGTCTCAGTGGTCAGCACTTGACTGGCATGTGCAAGGTCCTGGGTTCAGTCCCCAGTGTTGCAAAAAAATAAAAATTAAAAAAAGAAAAAAATTACCATACTTTAGAAATTTCTTTGTGTACTTTTAGATCATGAGGTTTTGTTTGTTTTGTTTTTGCTTTATCCAGAAGAAATACGGCTAACATATGTATGGGTTGGGGGCATGAGGGGATCAGGAGAGGAAATGGTATCTTTTGTTTTGTTCATTTGATTTGTCCAGTGAATCCCTAAAGGAAAGCAGTTGGAAATAAAGGTAAAAGAAAATAAAGCATGATGAGAATCATTTCACCCTACTTTAGCTTTAAGATTTTAATGAAAATAATTTTTTCTATTGTTTATTATTATTATTATTATTATTATTATTATTATTATTATTAGGCACTGGGGATTTAACCCAGGGGCAATTTACTACTGAGCCACATCCCCAGTTCTTTTTATTTTTTATTTTGAGACAGGGTCTTGCTAAATTGCTTAGGCCCTTGCTAAGTTGCTGAGACTGGCCTCGGACTTGTGATCCTCCTGCCTCAGCCTTCCAAATCACTGGGATTACAGCTGTGTACCACCATACCCAGCTGAAAACTACTGTTTCTAAAAAGGAACAAATGTTTTGAATCCTCTGGACCTCCGTTCAGATTCCGCTGTTGTTTTGCTTGCATCTCWGGCCCATCCTCAGGGAACAAGGAAATCTAGGCAAATAGTTATCTACTACCCCACCCTTTCCAAGATCTGGAGTGATAGGGYGTGATGGGGTTGACATATTAAAACACAGTACAGATGGTTTATGGGGCACAGAAAATGAAAAAATATGTGAAGAGAAATTTTTTTATTTGTGAAAAGTCCAAATCCTAGTAATATATTGAAAGGTTGGCTAAAGGGAGGGGAGAAATTAAGATCTAAAGTTAAAATGTTTTGTTGATGCAGGGTACATGATATGCATGGCAAAAGATTTTGTGTAGTATCTAATTGAAGTCTCATAACCATTATATCCCTTCAACAGATGAGAAAAATGAGGCTGCATGCCTCACCTAGAATGCTTTGGTTGTTGGAAAATGATCACTGAAAATGAAAAGAGGGACTTTTAAATCCAGAATAAAATTAGTTTGGTGTGGTGGTGCACACCTGTAATCCTGGCAGCTCAGGAGGCTGAGACAGGAGAATTTCAAGTTCAAAGCCATCCTCAGCAACTTAGTGAGACCTGTCTAAAAAGAAAAAATATATAAAGGGCTGGGGATGTGGCTCAGTGGTTAAGTGCCCCTGGGTTCAATCCCTGGTACCAAGAGGAAAAAAAAAAAAAAAAGAAAGGAAGGAAGAAAAAGAATAAAATTAGTTAATGTTAGAAATACCAGAGTACCACAAGGAATTAAACGTGCTGGGAAGTAGGCAAAGCAAACTTTACTTCTATAAAAGGGTGTGCTACGGAGCAAAGTCTGGCGAGCAAGCACACTTGGAAGAGAAGCCCCCTTGTTTTTATCCTTAAGGCAGCACTGCCACCTCGCCCTGATAGGAGGAGCCAGGAGTTGTGATTCACACAATTGGCTAATTTTWAAAAAATACTTATTTTTTAGTTGTAGTTGGACACAATACCTTTATTTTATTTATTTTTATGTGKTGCTGAGGATCAAATCCAGGGCCTCACACTTGCTAGGCGAGTATTCTACTTCTGAGCCACAAYCCCACCCCCACAATTGTCTATTTTTAGAATTGGGGTGGGCAAAGGGAAGGGCTACATCCCAATTAAAGCTACATACAATATTCTGAAAACAGACCACATGGACTTCATATTTCTGACAGTTAAGATCTCCTAAGGACTTTTTTAAATGGTTGTGTTTATATTATGATTTTGGAGTATTTTTAAAATCTAGAATTGCAATATAATTTCTAGACACCTTCCTGACGAAACTAAAAGGTTTAAGAGAAACATCATAGTCTGTTTTAAAATCAAATATCTGCCCTAGCCTTGTAATTTCTTAAAAATTTCCTGTCTGCTGAGTGGGATAGCAAGAATTGAGTTCTTTTGATTTGTTATTCTGTGTGGGAAATAGAACTTTGCAGTTTATATCATTTTAGGGAAGAGGGTGATGGGGGGAATTCTTTTTATAAAGTTTTTTATATATATATAATATTCTTTTTCCTCCTCTGAACTATAATAGGATTTCCGGGATGCTGTAGCCCATGCTTCCAGGCAACTTGGGAAGCCAGTGATTGAGGACCGGATCCTAAATCAGATCTTGTACTACTTGCCTCAGCTCTATGAGCTCAACCGGGATCTCCTGAAAGAACTGGAGGAAAGAATGTTGAATTGGTAAAAATAATATACTGAGTTTTGGGCTCTCCCAAATTTTCCAATTTTAAGTGAAGCCATAACCCCATCTGTGACAGGAAGGTGTTGTTCTTACCTTGTTTTAATAAACTGAATTTTCTTGACAATTACTTGTAGATTGACRATTTGGAGTGGCCAGAATTCATAACTTCGCCCATTGAGTTCAACACATACCACTTAAACAATTCTTCAGTAATGCTTGCTCAGACAAGAAGGGCCCACACTCGGTAGACTTAACTCCCCCACCACCACACMCCCCCATGGACTTAACTATCTATAAGTGACCTTTGAGATGAAGATTTTTCTTTCTTTTTCTTTTTTCCTTTTTGGTGCTGAGCATGGAACCCAGGGCCTCATGCATGCATGTGTTCTAACACTTAGCTATATGCCTACATCAAGATTTTCATGCAAGARAAGTTTTTAAATGTTTTATATATCTTCCAGGGTTTTAGGTCAGGAAACTAACTGCATTTAAAAAAAATGTTATTCTTAAGTTTTAGGTGGACACAATATCTTTATTTTACATTTATATGGTGCTGAGGATCAAACCCAGTGCCTCGTGCATGCTACCACTGAGCCACAACCCCAGCCCCATGCATTTTGAAAGTGATCATTCACTGTTTTTGTTTGTTTGTTTTCTTTGCCAAAGACAAAATTACAGATGTATGACATTATAAAAACTATAGATTTCAGAATAGGAAGAAAATACTAAGAGGTAGTATTGGATTGAGGAAAAGAAGCAGAAACTTTAGTGACATTATGGAAATTTGTAGAAAGATTGGTCTAGGAGGATTGAACATATTATTGAAGACCATTGGGGAATACAAAATGGTAAAGAGTCACAAAATAATGGGCTGGGGATGTAGCTCAGTGGCAGAGCACTTGTGTATCTTGCAGGAGGCCCTTGGTTCTATCCCCAATACCACACACAAAAAAAGAATAGCATCACTTAGTTTCTTGATAAAGTTTCCCAATCCAGAAAAATACCTTTGCCTATATTAGAAATGTTGTGCCTCTACATGTTGGGAACCATGTTAGATAAGCAGTTGATACTTATTTATAGCATGAGTATAAAATAACACACAATTAAGGACTGAGGGATGACTAAAAGTAGTTTTTAAAAGTCATAACAGAAATAAAGTATAATTAAAAAAAACATTCTTATACATGTTTTATAAAAAAATCTTAAAAATATGAATTGTCTTTAAAAGATATGCTTATTTCCACAAGTGTTTGGGGATTTAAATATATTTTTGCTTCTTTTTGTTTATTTTTTGCTTTTACTAAAAGTTACCTCAAAGTTAGATCCATAGATGTTCTATATGAAAATATTAAGCATTCCTAAAAACAAGGATAATGAAAACTACAAATATGGAAAAAGCTTCCCTTATGCTAATATAAAATTCTTCAAATCCTTGGTTAAGATATTTTCTACTGGGGCTGGGGTTGTGGCTCAGWGGTAGAGAGCTTGCCTAACAGGTGCAAGGCACTGGGTTCGATTTTTAGCACCACATATAAATAAATGAATAAAATAAAGATTTATCAACATCTTTTAAAAAAGATATTTTCTAATAAAATATTTTTCTTCTAAGAAGTCTTTGAATTGACATATTTTGTGGGGCTTGGGATGTAGCTCAGTGGTAGAACATGTTCAAGTTTCAGTCCCCAGTACTTGGTTGGGAGCATTTTCTTTATTTTTCTAAGTTTCTGCATAACATTTTTCCATTGACATTTTTTTGTGGGGCGGGTACTGGGAATTTAACCCAGAGGCAATTTACCACTGAGCCACACACCCCCACCCCACCCCAGCCCTTACATTTTAAATTTTGAAACAGGATCTCACTAAGTTGCTTAGGGCCAGTTGTTGAGGCTGGCTTTGAACTTTTGATCCTCCTGCCTCAGACTCCCAAGTCACTGGGATTACAGGTGTGTGCCACTGCACCCAACTTTCCCATTGACTTTATTTTTTTTTAATATATTTTTTTGGTTGTCAATGGACCTTTATTTATTTATTATTTATATGTGGTGCTAAGAATCGAACCCATGCCTCACACATGCTAAGCAAGTGCTCTACCACTGTGCTATGATCTCAGCCCCCTCATTGACTCTTTTTTTTTTTAAGAGAGAGAGAGAGAATTTTTAATATTTATTTTTTAGTTATTGGCGGACACAACATCTTTGTTTGTATGTGGTGCTGAGGATCGAACCTGGGCCGCAAGCATGCCAGGCGAGCGAGCTACCGCTTGAGCCACATCCCCAGCCCCCCCATTGACTCTTAATAACAGTTAATGAAATATTTGATTTTACATTCAACAAGAGTTTATATATATTGTTTTCTAGTCTGTGCTTTTAGCATGCAGAGTATATCATAGTTCACAAAATAGACAGGATTGGGCTAGGCATGTAGCTTAGWGGTAGAGCACTTGTCCTGGGTTCCATCCCTAGCACCGGAAAAAAACAAAACATCAAGGCTCTTGCTTCCAGACAATTTAGAGGGGAAGGACCAGAAAATAGACAAGGCAAATATCAGAAGCAGTTCCTGATCTRCAGAGATGAATACAATGCTGGAGTAGTGTATGAGGATTGGGTGGCCTCTGAGAAGGAGGAGTGTGTAAACTGAYGTCAGAGTGTAAAGGAGGAGCCAGCCATGTTCCCTATGTCCAGGCCTGGGCATCCACAGTGAAAGTCTGAAGTGGGAATGAACTCTGGTACATTSAGAGAGTGTTAAGAAGGCCATTGGGTTAGAGAGTAGTAGGAGAGGGGAGAGAAGGGTGGCCTGGGTCAAAAGGTGGGCAGCAGCAGTCCCTGGAGGGCTTCACACCCCAAGGTAAGGAGTTTATTTTTAGGTATCAGGGTACACTCAGTAGTAGAGCACTTACCTAGCGTGCCCTAAATCCCTAGCACTGCAAAGAAGGGGAAAACTAAATTAATTAATTAATTAATTAAATAAAAAGGAGTTTGTTATCCTAACTGTGATAGAGGACCACTCAAGGGCACAAGATATGTACATTTCTTAGACTCTCAGGTTGCACTCAAGAATGGGCTATAGGGGACAAGGATGGAAGTAGGGAGACCAGTCAGCTGGCAGAGTTCAGCCAAGATGTGATGGCAGAAGGGGAACTTGAGAAGAGTAAGTTGGGGATAAGAGAGGGAGATAGCCGGTGGCTTCCATGCACAGGTCTGCTTCTGACTGGATGTGTTTTGGATACACTAACAACTCTCCTTTTATATTTTTGTTTCTCTCTCCTCTATCCATAGGACCGAACAACAAAGAATTTCTGATATCTTTGTAAAGAAGGGACCATATCTAAAAATGTATTCTACATATATCAAAGAATTTGATAAGAATATAGCTTTGCTGGATGAGCAATGCAAGAAAAACCCAGGCTTTGCTGCTGTTGTTAGAGAATTTGAGGTATTTGTACCATCTAGTGTTGAACATTGCCTTTTCCTTATTTTTTTTTTTTTTAGAGCTTTAATAATAATTTAAGGTCATTGAAAATGAAGCGTGCAACCAAAAATGTGTTAAAACAGAATACCTTCTAAATCAAAGAAGGAATTAGTCAAATCAAATAGTGAAAACTCAGTGTACAGGATTTAATTCTGAAAATCTGTTATTGCCCTTTGAACTATTTTGCCTTGGAAAACAGTATTTTGATAGGACTTTTATAAAATTTTGGTAAAATACAAAACATAAATTTACCATCTTAGCTTCTTTTTTTTTTTTAATAGCAGGGATTGAACCCAGGGGTGCTCCACCCTGAGCTACATCCCTAGCCCTTTTTAAAAATGTTTTATTTTGAGACAGATTCTCCCTGAATTATGATCCTCCTGCCTCAGCCTCTGGAGTTGCTRGGATCACAGGTGTGCACCACCACACTGGCGTTTTTTACGTTTAAGCGTGCAGTTTGGGAGGGTTATGGACATCATTTTGCAACCATACCTCTAGAATGCTTTCTATCTTATAGCACTGAGACCCTGTACCCATTAAACATTGACTCTTACCTTTCTCTCCTCCAGCCCTCACACACCCTCTGCTTTCTGTCTCAATGAATCTGAGTTCTCTAGGAAGCATTTTTTATTTTTAACTTTTTTATTTGCCCAACAACCTATACCTGTGAGAGGGAAATAGAATTTACATTTGCCTTTAGATAAATAAATAGCAGTTTCAATGTCAAAGTTAAGAAAAATTAAGCATCTGCCTATTGCATATGTCATCTAAAACTTCTTGTTTTGATTCAAAGCTCTAAGGGATAAAATGACACTTAGTTTTTAAAGTAAGGTAAGTCTACTGATTGGATTACTATATTTTGTATTTATTTGTTTCAAAACTAAAAGAGTAAGTGAATTCCAGCTATACTTCAAAAATATAACAACATTACTTATTTCTCACGTGTGCAATAGACAAATAATTTGACTTAAAATCACTTGCAGCCCATTTTTCTTCTTTTCCTCTCCTGTGGTGTCTTTATGCTACCAAAAAAAAAAAAAAAAAAAAGTATAAGCTGGGTGCTGTAGCACATGTCTGTTATCCCAGCCACTCTGGAGGCTGAGGCTGGAGGATTGCAAGTTTGAGGCTATCCTTGGCAATTCAGCAAGATCCTGACTCAAAATACAAAATTTAAAAAGGCACGGGTTAACTCAGTGGTAGTGTGCCCCTGTACAAATAAAATGAATGCAGAATTGTTTTTACTTGGCCACTTTGATACCACCTCCAAGTAAACTCTTGGATTGGAGAATGGGTGAGCTTCAGTATGTCTGTTATACATACTGAGGAAAAGAGCTTTGAAAGCAGAATTAGATGCTCTTAAGGTCAATTCAGAATGTGGTCCCAGGTTTGGGATGTGGCTTAGTGGTAGAGTATATACTTAGTATGTTTAAGGCCCTATGTTTGATCCCCAGCACCACCAAAGTTCCTATATGTACTTTTTTTTTTTTTTTTTTTGTAGTGGGGATTGAGTATCGGGGATTACCTCCGAGTCACATCCCCAGCCCTTTTTAAATTTTTTTCTGTTGAAATCAGAGTCTCACTCTGTTAGTTGCTTAGGACCTTGTAAATTTGCTGAGGCTGGCCTTGAACCTGTGATTCTCCTGCATCAGCCTCCCAAATCACTGGGATTACAGACAAGTATACCACACCTGGATCCTACATATACTTTTATTTGGCAACTGATTTTTATAGGGTCATTCATCTGAAAAAGGATTTTGTGTTTTATTTAGAGACTAGAGCCTTTCTTTTTGCTGAGGCTGTTTTTTTTTTTTTTCTTTTTTTTTTTTGGTGGTGGTGGTGGGGATGGAACTTAGGGCTTTGTGCACGTGAGGCAAGCACCCTACCAACTGAGCTATATGCCCAGCTGAAAAAGGTTTTTGTATCCTCAGCCTTGTAAGAGAAAGCATGCTTACCAAGTCTGCTCTTTGGGTTATCTTTAATTTCTATGCGTCTCCCTACCACCACTCTGTTGTTGTTTTGAGCATATTGACCCCAAGGCTCTGATTATCATGAGTCTAATTCCCAGAGGTTTTATTTCTGCCACCTTATTTGGGGGGCTGATACATTTCCTTCTTGGTCCTTTGGGGTTTGTAATTAGAACTACATTGGCAAATTTCCCTCTGTGTGGGAACACCTGAGTAGGGAATGCAGACTGTGGCCATCATGTTCTGTGAAAGAGCCAAGAATAAGTGTTCCCTGGGAGCAGGCGTTTCAGAGATCTCCTTCAGGAGAGGTGGGCCTTCGTGGTGAGTCTGGCTGTGGCTTCCCTTGCAGCATGGTAGCTGTGAACAGTGTGAATAGCTGTCCCTCACCATGAAAGGGAGCATCTCTGAGTCCCCTTCCCAGTTGCTGGCTGTTTCAAGTTTGGCTTCCTGAGCTCTTGAACCTGCGTCTCTTGCTTCTTGGACAACATGGTGTTTACTCTGGATGTCTCTTCCTTTCAGATGAGCCCGCGTTGTGCTAATCTGGCCCTCAAGCACTACCTGCTCAAGCCAGTTCAGAGGATCCCTCAGTATAGGCTGCTGCTGACAGGTGGGCTTCTCCGTGCTTCACCAGCCACCCAACCCTATTTCCCTGACGAAGCTCTGCCTTTCCTCAGAATATCTTTTTCTATGATTTCCAGTAGCCACTCTGCTTAATGCATGAATTTATGGTATGTTTATATATTTCACGTATACATTCCCCTGAAATGACCTCCTTTTAGATCTTTGTTTTTTCCTGAGCACTCTTACCTCTGGGCATTCATACATGTAACTCCTTTTGCTGTGATCATCTTTCACCATCCCAACCCCACAACAACCTTGAATCATTCATGATTAATATTATTAATCCCCAAAAGATACCTAAGAAGGGCAATTTATAGGAGGAAAAGTTCATTTTTGTCAACTTCAGAGGTTCAGTCCATGGTGGGCCAGCTCCATTACTCTGAGCCCACGGTAAGGCAGACCATCATGGCAGAAGGGTGTGTTGGAGGGAAGCTACTCTGTTCAAGAAGCAGAGAGAGAAAGGGGAAGAGGGAAGATGACCCCCTCAGGGCATGCACCCAGTGACCCACCTCCTCTAGCCATGCCCCATCTGCCTCAGTTACCACCCGGTCAGTCCATTCAAACTAGGATGGACTGATTAGGTTATGGCTTTCATATCTGATCGTTTTACTTTTGAATATTCCTGCATTAACATATTCCTGCAGGAGCTTTTGGGGGGGTCACCTCATATCCAAACCATAACAAGGCTTTTAGAGATCAAGTGGTTTGGCTCCACAAAAAAAGCTAATAGACTAGATAGGGCAAAGGGGAGGGATGGGGAGGGAGGGGACAAGGGGGTAAAAAAAAATGGTGGAATGAGATGGACATCATTACCCTAAGTACATATATGAAGAGACAAATGGTGTGACTATACTTTGTATATAAGCAGAAATATGGAAAATTGCACTCTATATATGTAATATGAATTTTAATGCATTCTGCTCTCATATATAACAAATTAGAATAAAAATTTTAAAAAAAACTAATGGACATAGTCTCCATACCAAACACAATATACAATACATATTACTAGGTGCCCTGGAATATTTGCTGAAATGTATTGCATGTACAGTGGCTTAATATACATATACATGTGCATTGAGCATTGTTTCAAAGTGGACAAGAACATTGAAATGCCACCTTAACTTTCTAGTTAATTTTTGTAATTTTATGTAAACAGATTTTTGAGGTACTTGGCTCCAGTTAGTGTCTTTAGGAAATGATGTGCATGTTTTTCTCCTTAATCACTTTATCTTAAAAAGAGCTATAGAGGAGGTAGTACGTGAATCCTGGAAAACCAGGATATCCCCATTTCCCTTTACACAAAGGTTTTAGGCCTTCCAAGCTTGCTAGTGACAGATAGACTGCAGATGAGAAAGGCAAGCCTTTTAGCCCCAGGACCTGCTACCCAAGGCATGTCAAATATTTAATTTTAATTTCTAACTGTGAATTGGTCACTAGATTTCTCTCTGGAATGACATAAAGCAAACCAAATAATTGAAGGATATCCTGGCCATCTGTACTTTCTTTCATTTTTGGCAAAGATTTTGAATACACAGGGCAAAAGGAAGTACTGACACACATGTTGTGTTTTTGCTAGATAAATCCAATGCCCTGTCATAAACTAGCTATTGAATAGCACAGGCTATTTCCACAGCTGTCGAATGAGTACTGTTTTTAGTGGCAAAAGACAACTGTGGTTTCAAATGTGAGAAAGAAGCATCATGATTTTGAAAATATAATGAGAAAAACAAATTTTCCCCACTCTATGGTTGATCTGAATAGTAAAAAAGCTACCTGTGGTTAATTTAGGTTGCATGCTGAGTTTATTTTTGTGAAATGGTGAAATGGTAGAAGCCAGTTTTAAGAATTTTTTTTAAGAAAACAAATTTCATTTGTTTTATAATACCTACATCATGTGAACTTAGAGTTATTTTTAGTTTTGATTTGCCTCTGCTTAATCTTAAACCAGTTTCCCCTGTTTTTTAAAGTGGAAAATCTTACCCATTATTCAAGTGATGCATAATACCTTATATATAGCAAGCCCTCAGTAACGGCAGATTGGTTGAGGGGCAAAGATGATGAATGGCTTGTTTGAGGTCACAAAGTTAGAACTAAAAAAAAATAAGCTGAATTATTTTTCCAGTGTCTTTTCTTTCCATGAATTCAAACTGTTCCCTTCCTTCAAGCCTGAGCTGAAGTCCTCCATTATCTTTGAAGCCATCTCCAATTTCCCCCATTTCTATGACCCTTTAGTATCAGTACCATGTCACTTAGCAGATATTCATGTGATACTTTGTAAATTTGCTAATATTTATGCCACTTGAAATAATGTCTTCCTTAATTTGCTTATAAACTCTTGAGGTCAGGGACTACATCTTTTATCTGTAATATAGTGACACCCACGCCCCTTCTCCTAAAAAAATTAGATCAGTGTTAGATTCCAGAAAGCTATCCGGGAAATTTTAAATTTATTTATTTATTTTAATTTGTTATACATGACAGCAGAATACATTTCAATTCATAGAACTCAATTTTTCATGTCTCTGTACACAAAGTAGAGTCACACCATTCRTGTCTTCATACATGTTCCTAGGGTAATGATGTCCATCTCATTCTACCCTCTTTCCTACCCCCATGCCCATCCTCTCTTCTCCTCCCTCCTCTTTGCCCTATCTAAAGTTCCTCCATTCCTCCCATGTTCTCCCATCCCCCACCCCCATTATGGATCAGCATCCACATATCAGAGAAAATATTTGGTCTTGGGTTTTTTTGGATTGGCTAACTTCACTTAGCATGATATTCTCCAACTCCATCCATTTCCCTGCAAATATCATGATTTTTTTCTCTTTTAATGCTGAGTAATATTCCATTGTATGTATATACCACAGTTTCTTTGCCCATTCATCTATAAAAGGGCATCTAGGTTGGTTCCATAATTTAGCTATTGTAAATTGTGCTGCTGTAAACATTGATGTGGCTGCATCACTGTAGTATGCTGTTTTTAAGTCCTTTGGGTATAAACCAAGGAGGGGGATAGCTGGGTCAAATGGTAGTGCAATTCCAAATTTTCCAAGGAATCTCCATACTGCCTTCTAGATTGGCTGCACAAATTTGCAGTCCCACCAGCAATGTATGAGTGTGCCTTTTCCCCCACATCCTCGCCAAGACTTATTGTTGTTTGTATTCTTAATGGCTTCCATTCTGACTAGAGTGAGATGAAATCTTAATGTAGTTTTGATTTGCATTTCTCTAATTGGTAAAGATGTTGGACATTTTTTCATGTATTTGTTGATTGTTTATCATCTTGTGAGAAGTGTCTGTTCAGTTCCTTGGCCCATTTATTGATTGTTATGATCTGATTGTACCCTATTTTGTAAGGTGTTTTTCTACTGCTACTGCCAACATGACCCTGTCTATACACTTATGTTTAGACTTTAAGTCTTAAGTTTGCATCTCTTTAAGTATGTTAATTAAATGGGTCCCCAATGGATAAACAACTCAATTGATTTAGTCCTGCAAAATAACCTTGTTAAAATAAGTACTTTGATTTATGTTTCGGAATTTAAAGGTATTCCAGATGCATAAGATGTATAGGAGCAGAAAGGAAGAATGAGAATTTATTTGAGGCAACTCCTTGTAGTAATGTTAATTTATCACATATTTTAGGCAGAATGGGGGATGGTTCCTGTGCCTGCCTTGGAGTGTAGAGATTTGTACCCAGTTTGCTTTCTTTGGAGGGGAAGATTGAGAAATGCATAGATAAAGGACTGATAAAGTAGGATTTCTTTTGGAATTCTTTAGAGAAAGATTAAGTGGAAATTCCCTGCTAACAGCAGTCCTCACTCTTGTGCAAATAACCATCCTTTTGTTTTTTTTTTCCTGGACAATTTTAGGTTCTTTAGGGTATTCTACTGAGCCTATCTCTTCCTTTATTGTAGTAAAAATCTTCCAACTAAATTATCAGTAGGGGGGCATTTGCCATGCATTCACAAGCTCAGTCCTCCAAACAGCAAAAGTTGAATGAATGAATAAAATGAATTCTTGGTAGAATTTTTTTTTTTTTTAATCAACTCCAAGTAGGATCTAGCACATCTGGAGAGGTGACTTGTCCTGCAAAGTTCACCTAAATAGTATTAATTAAGGCACATATGGGATCTAGGAGAATATGTACAGTTATATAATGAAATATTTAAGGAAAAATAAAGTGAGTGATTTACTTAATTTAAGCCTAAAAGCTTGTAAATTTTCTTTCATACTGGTTACTCTGTGCCAGGGCATTGGGCTAGATTAAGTCTGTTTGGGGTTCAGCTCCTGTTTTAGGTTGTGAAGAATGGAGATCAAGAAGCAGCGATCAGGAGGGAAGCAAATATTGTCTAGGAGCCACATTAATTTACTTTTGATGCTTGTTTCCTACCCTCATGTGTCTGCAGGGTAGGAATTGTCTTTATTGTCCCCCATTATGTCTGGCACAGATCACGACACATGTTGGGGACTCAGTCAATTGAAAGCCTCAGGGAAGGGACTGGGGGCCATAGCTCAGTGGTAGAGCACCTGCCTCGCATGTGTGAGGCAATGGGTTTGATCCTCAGCACCATATAAAAATAAATAAAGATATTGTGTCCGACTACAACTAAAAAAAATATTTAAAAAAAAAAGCCTCAGGGAAGTGAAAAATTGCTCCTTCTTATGAGGTTCACAACCCTCATGCAGTAGCACCAATGAATGTTTGCTGGCTGGCTGGATCACGAAGAAACACTGAAGAGTCAAAGCATTCTTCATGTCTCCCAGGCACGAGATTGTGGAAAGGACTGAAATCCTTCCCTCTCACCTCTTCTTTCCAGTAGGATCTACCAACGAGTTTCCTTGCTCCTCTGATCCCTGTTCTTTCCATTTCCTTGTGATGATCCAGATCAGCCTTTCTCAACACAGCACTTGCAGCAATCCCTTCCATACTGGTCTGGCCACATCTTATCACACCCCGTGTCACTTAGCATATTATTGCTT